GGCCCCGCCCCGCCCCCGGGGCCCCGCCCCCGGGGCCCCACCCGCGGGCTAGATGGGTCACCGCGGATCGCCCGCCCGTTTGCTCGCGGAGGCCTGCCCTTTTTCTCCCTGCCCGCGCAGGCCAGGTCCACCAGCCCCGTCAGGGCCTCCGGGAGCCGCCGGACAGCGCCTCGCGGGGCCTCGGTTTGTGGCCTGAGAGAGGCACTGGAGGTGCAAGGCCTGGGAGCTGCCTGGGCTCGGGGGAAGCCGGGTCCAGAGTGTCCACGGACGCTTCCTCTCCGTCTCCTGCGGCTGCCTTGGAGAACAGCCGCTTACCTGGAAGCGAGTGGCGGGTAGCTCTGCTTTTCCAGAAGGTCGCGGATGGACGGGGCCCGCTGCTTGGCTGTTGGTCGCAGAGGATTCAGTTCAACCTGCAGGATCACCGTCATCTCTGGAACGCGAATAATTCCCCCTCCCCTTTTTTTTTCATTTTTAAGACAACTTCAGTATTTCATCTGATTTTAACCCAATACTGTAGGCTCTGACTAATGCATTTCAAGGTTGAATCTTTTTTTTGTTTGTTTCTTATTTTAAAAGAGTCTGGGCAGAGATGCTTCCAGATTACACGAGTTTTAAATGGCTGATCTGATCTTTCTTTTAAGTTTTTAATTATGTAAGAAAGACACGAATCACTTACTGTAGTTGTGAGATATCCAAACATTCTACAAAGTTTCAAACGTTCTACTCCACCCCACAACTGTACTCCAATCAGTTTTGTCACATAGACATTTTTCTATACATTTACAAACATCAAAATGTCTCTAGAAGTGTGATTCATACACATTTTGTTGCATTTATATGTATGTCTTTGGCAGCACAGTGTACATATATTAGTAAGCATTTTGGTTCCTTAAGTGTTTTACGCTTAGCAATATGACACGATGAACTTTCATTCTTCATACTTCCGTATAGCGTGCTTTGGTATTAATACACCACTAGTTTATTTCCCTATTACCCCCCCCCATTGATGGACACATTACCAACTTTTCTGCTATTACAAAAAAAGCCACAATAAACCTCTTTATTCATGCTTTGTATTATGGGCTGACCTGTATGGCCCCCAGATTTCCTATGTTGAAATCCTAATCACAGTCCTCAGAATGTGACTGTATTTGGACATAGGGTCTTTAAAGAGGTAACTAAGTTAAAATGAGGTTGCAAAGATTGGTCTCAATGCAATATGCTGTCTTTTATAGGAAGAGGAAATTTGGTCACAGTCATATCGGGGAGAGATTATGTGAAGACACAGGGAGAAGACAGGAATCTACACGTGAAGGAGAGACGTCTCCGAAGAAACCAACCCTGCCGATGCCTCAATCTGGGACTTCTACCCTCCAGAACAGCAAGAAAATGTCCTGTTGTTTAAGCCACCTGATCTGCCGTACTCTGTTAGGGCAGCCCTAGCAAACTAATATATCCCGGCTTTGTAGGATTAGATTAGTAGGCTGCATGTAACAGAAAACGGAGCTCCTTTTAAAGTGGCTTAAACAAGAGAGAGGGCTTTGTTGTTAGTGTTGTATTTTTCTTTCAGGGAAGCAGTTGGAAAGTGAAGCACTGAGGGCTGGTATTGTAGCTCCTCAGTCATCTGGCGCCCAGCGCCTTTCTTATCCTGCTCCATTCTTCCGGGCGGTGGTTTTTATCCTCAAGTTCATGGCAAGTTCTGAGATGGCTCCTGGAGCACCTGCATCAAGATGACTTTGATCCAGGGGAAGGAGGAAGGAGGGAAGATCAAAAGGAGTACACTCTTCATTGGAGTTAGTGTCCTTTAAGCAGCCTGCTCAGTTCTGCTCACATCTCATTGGCCGGAACCTAGCCCTCCAGAGGAGGGTGGCAGACTGTCTTCTAGCTGTATACTCTGTCACCCCAAATAAAAGTGGGATTCTGTTATCAAGAGAAGAGAGGTGTGTGCCTCCTTCCACCCTGAGGACCGTCCCACTGCAGAGCTGGCTGATCTTCCCGTCCTCACGCACGCGTCTCTATGTGTACAGGCAGTGACATTTTCTATTGACATGGAGCAGACTTGTAAGAAAAAGAGGGTTTTTTTTTTCCTTTTCTTTTCTTTTCTGAAATCATAGGGGAAATGTCATAAGCTCTCTCCCCAGGGCACACTGCTCCACCCAGTGGCTCGCAGCCCTGTCCTGGTTCAGTCATAGCTAAAACACATGAGCAGCTGCGGTCGATCATGTGCTCTGCTGGGAGGGGTCACGCTGGTCATTTATTTTGCCAGCAGCCAAGTGAAGGTGCAGAAGTGCTGAGAGTTCTGGTCCACAGAAATTATTGGGATTGTGTAAAAAAAATTCCAGGGCTACTGACTTTCATCGAAGGAACAAATCAATTCAGTTTATAGTCCACTGACGTGAAAACATCTGGATTGATTTTGCATTGTCACCGTTTTGGTGTCTGGAACTTGATTCAGTTCGACTCTGTGAGCATTTATTTACTGAGGGCCTATGGTCGACCCAAAAACCAGATGAGGCACTGATGGAAAGATTAATGTAACAAGGTCGCTGCATGAAAGAGCTCACAGTGTAGCAGAGGAGAGAAACAATACACAGTCAGTATAATGCAGGTTACAGGAGGTCAGGACCTGAAGAGATGATATGATGGTAATAAGATCCCTGTTTTAAAGAAGAGGAAACCCTGGTTTTGGAATTACATAATTCGTCAGAGGTCCCAGGTGTCTTGGATGACAAGATGTGTCTTTCTTCCATGTAGCACCGACTGGGTTAATCACTGGGACAGTCACATAGTGAAACTGAGCGCCATGTGGAAGATCCACTGAAAAGGAGTCGGAGGCAGGAATGCTCAGATGGGATGAGACTGAAGTCTGACCAGGCACGCTGTAGGGCAGGAGAGGAGGGAGCAGAAGTGAAAGGGATGGTGTGGTCATGGGCTAGATGAAACCACAAACTTCTCACTGCTCCGGGGTTTAATAGTAACCACCCCTCTAAGTGGTTCAGTGACTGCAGATGGTAAAATTGAATCTCACAGCTAACCGGTGTCCTAATCTGGGTTTATCCTGGTTGTGTCCCTCAACAGCAGAGGAGGGACGCCTCAGCTGGAGGGTGCAACAAGAATTTCTTGCAGTATTAGGAATCAGGCAGGGGTGACATTCAGAATGTTGAAAAACGGGAAAGGCATACTTACTAATCAATGAGAACAGAGGCCTATGACCAGAAGGATATAGCGTGGCTTTGGAGGTTCTGGTGTGCCAAACATTAACCATTTAAAGACTGAATCATGGGGAGGTATGGGAGTAGGTAGGGTCCTGGGGGTGGGGCTAGGGTGGACATGGGGAGACCAGGGCTGTTTACCATTCTTCACTTTGCTCCTTCTGAATCCAATGCAAGAAGAGGGAAAATATAATCTCCTGAGCTTTACCTGCCCCTCAATTTATTCCCATGTAGCAATTCCAGATTTCCAGAAGAGATGTGATTGCCCCAGGCTAGGGTGAGAGTCCATTCCTGATCACCTTCATTATTTGTGAACAGAAGAGTAGGACTCATATAATGAAACAGAACAATTAAACTTGCGTTTGCCGAACACCATGACAATAAGTTAAAAGGGGTGAGACACACATAAACACATGGATGCCCCTAAAATATTGATTGATACTGTTCTCTGTACCAGCATATAAGGAAAGAAGTCTAACTTCGATGGAAATTCTCCGAATACTACACTTAACTCAAATTATCGATAATACTGCAATTGCCTTGAAAACTTGAGGATTAGATCTGAAAGAAAATGTAGGACTTTTATCTATGTCGTCTGAAACATTACCTACGCTCTGTTAGCACCGCTATTTGCAATTATGGTTAGTGAACTCATAATCTCTGTTTCCAGAGAATCACCTCCCTGGCCTCTCCTCAACAAGCTATAAGAGAAATGGGGTGAACACACTTGCTAAGCAAATAGGCCTCAGGCCTACGTTTCAACCCTAGAGCCGTGAGCTGTAAATCACGATCGCACACACAGGCCATGCCCTTGCAGTGGGTTCGTGAATATTCATGACTTTATGTCCACAACTGAGCAAGAGCTATGGCCAGCAGGATTTTGGTTCAGTGAAAGCATGCCTTTCTTGCAGAGAATGGCAAACAGGTTATTTCATTTATTCATTGCTTCCACAAACATTTATTGATGACCACACAATGCACTAGGTGTGAGGGAAGGGAGGAACAGATCAAGTCCTTGTCCCTAACGAAGCGACAGGGCTGTGGGGAGAGAGTACTCGGTGCTAAGAGCCACACAGCACGGGAGGTGCAGAAATGCCCGAGAGTCTGTCTGGGGCTCAGGCTCCGTGTGGAGGGATACAGCTAGGCCATCTGCAGTTGCTGACTTATTCTGTGCTAGGCACCATGAGAGATGGAAAAATGGCTAGGCACGATTAGTGTTAGGAACTCTATTCAGGCGGTTGGAGCCTGGATCTCGGCATTTATCTTCTACCCCACAGAATTCTTTTTTTTTTTTAAGATTTTTTTATTTATTCATTTGAGACACAGAGATACAGAGAGAGAGAAAGAGACAATGAGCAGGGGGAGAAGAAGAGGGAGGGGGAGAAGCAGGCTCCCCGCTGAGCAGGGACCCTGGGATCATGACCTGAGCCGAAGGCAGACGCTTAACCATCAGAACCACCCAGGTGCCCCTGCCCTACAGAATTCTTGAAAATACCTCTCAAGATCATTCACCAGTAGGGAAATGAGGTAGAGAATTTACCTGTGAAAGCAACCTTCACCTCTATGTAGGGCTCTCTGGTAAGCTAGACTGCAGAAAATTCCAGATCTCCCAGATCTTGGGAGCTGAGTGCTCACGTGTGCCTCCCCCGGGGAACTGGCCTGCACACCCACCTCCCTCTCATACTCAGCTTCAGATGAACAGAGAGACAGCCCAGAGGGAGGGGAGTGAGGGGAGGCAGGGGGATGGGAAGCATGTGGGAGGGATGGGTGAGATCCTCCCCAGGTGTTCTTATGGGCTGGGAACAGATACACCAGAGAGCAGGACGACATGCTGGGTGAGGGGCGTGGTCCCGCTCCCTCATGAACCACAACCCAGTGAGTGTCAGACTCTCCATCACCGGTGAGGATGAGTAAACTGGGGAAAAGGAGGGGGGGGTGGAAACTACCAGATACAAACTCCTCTCCTTTAGAGGAGAGTTGAAAGGAAAATAATGAAGGGTGGTGTTTGGCCACGTGTAAGAAAGATCGCCTGAGACGGAACGGGCCCATCAGTGAGCACAGGGATGCCGCTCCAAAGGAAAAACACATCAGCGCAGAGTGCCCCTCACTGACCAACAGGTGGCACAGCAGACCAGACACAGCTGGGTTGCTGGTCTGTAAGGTCTGGAGTGAAGGAAGAAAGTTGGGTATCAATCCCAGCCTATGTACATGCAGCGGAAAATTATTCAGTCTTCAAGGGGAAGGAGATTCTGACATTCACTACAACACCAACGACCCTGAAGACATGATTCTAAGTGAAATAAGCCAGACACCAAAGGACAAATATTATCTGTATCATTCCACTTATATAAGGAAACTACAGAAGACAAATTTATAGAGGCAGAAGGTAGGATGGTGGTTGCCAGGGACTGGGGGGTTGGGGGAATGAGGCGTTACTGTTTTGTGGGGAGAGAATTTCAGTTTGGGAAGATGAAAGATATCTGGGGGTGGGGGTGGCTGCACAATAATGTGAATGTATGTAATACCACTGAGCTATAGCTAAGTTCACAGAAATGGCTAAGATGGAAAGTTTTATGTAAGGAATATTGAGCCACGATTAAAAAAATAAAAAGCCAAACCCAAACAGAGTGTTCATACTGCTGTTTTATACCTGCCCAGAGTCCAGGGGGTGGATACACACCTTCTCGAATAAGCAAGGAAGGAGGGAAAGCATGTTTCCCCAATCCCGCCTGTGGCCCAACCTCTGTGCCTTGCCTCCCCAAACCCTCAATCAGCTCTCTTTTGGCATCGTGCTCATTTATTTATTAAATGCCCACTAAGTGTCGGCCTTCAGCCAGGCACCGAGAATACATTCTCCGGTGGTCATGCTATTTCCCACCTGGCCCCGGCTTCCCCTTGTCTGCTCCATCCACCTTGCCCCAGCCAACCCTTCAGCCCATATGTTTGCAGCTTCTCTCACCCGATTTCCATTGTAATGAAAAATACTTTGCACAGTACCTTTGGTTCATATTATATTTTAAGAGAGGGTCAGATGGGGTAATGAGTGGAGTTTTCTAAACAGAAAGCCCTTATTCCAGTGACTCCAGAAGCACAGACAGCCGCCTTCCATTAACTTAGATTACAATATGCTACAGCAACAAACAACCCTCGGATGTCCGCGCTGTGACGCTGGGCTCATGTTTTGCTCACGTTGCACGTCTGCACACGTCAATGTTCGGTGTGGTCCAGCCACTGGGCTTAGGGAGGCTCCACCATCTTTGAGCTGCACCCCCTAGAACCATCTCCTGAGTGGTTAGAGCAGGGGAAGAGAGAATGGAGAATCGCAGATCTGCTTTGCGTTGCCTCCGCTGAAAGTAAGGCACATCACTTCCGCTCCCATTTCATTGATCAGAACGGATCACGTGACCCCCGCCAACTTGCACCTGGACCGTTCCGTCGACACGCTCTCTCTGGGACAGCTCCTTTCCTCCGTGCGGTCTGACATTGTGATGACTTGCTTGTGTGACTGTGTTGCTCTCTGGGCTCTACTTTTCGGAAGGGTAGAGTCCTTACTTAACCTCGATGTGGCGTTGGTGCCTAGCAGAGCGCCCGGCACGTGGTAGGTGTCCAGTGTTTATGGAGTGAATGAATGATGGCAGAAAGTCAGGTGACCTAAAAGGAGGGTGGAGGTAGTCCCAGGAAGGGTCAGCGTGGGAGGAGCCACCCTATGTGAAAAATGAA